ATTTTAAGGATAATTTTTTATAAGATATGAGATACCGGTGGAAATATATTATTTTAATAAGTTTAAATTTTACTACGTTTCATTCTCTTCACTTTTCGATGCCTATTGTGAATGAAAAACATTTATGTGGAAGCGGCCATATTTTTCTAACACAAAAAAATAAGCAAACAACCATAGAAAAAGTAAACGAACAACATATCTGTTTGAAAAAAAAAAATCGATAAAAAGTTACAAACGCAGATGATTAAGACATAACCACTCCCTTTCCAGTGTTAATACATTCCCCCAAAAAAGAATTTGGTAAATCTAAAAAATTGTATAAGCCTTTTGTAATTTTTGTAATCCGTTACAATTTATATACAAGGCTATTCTGAATGAATTAAACTACAAAGCGAAAACATTTTCCACTTTCATCAACTATGAGACGGCTAGCTTTTTGGAAAAGCTATTACTTGTTTTGTTGGTACTCAAACTTTGGCTAGATGGCTGGTCTCAGTTTTGAAGTCATCTGGTGTACTGACATTACAACATTTAAGGCAAATACTTTTCGTTCAGCTAGCACTTCAAATGCTTAAGTGAAGGGTGCTTCAGTTCAAGATATTATGAATGCTGCTATTTGGAATAATCTTCCAACATTTCAAAAATTTTATCATAAAGGAAGTTGTCAAATCTTCAACTATGGATTCATGCTTAAGTCTGCATAAAAAAACTGTTAACGGTTTAAATGCATATAACATTATTTGTGAACTGTAGAGAATAATAAAGTATTGTGTTATTTTACAGTTGGTGTTAACTGAATGATTGGCGATACGGAGGGAAATTCATACGGACATTATGTTGTGATATGGACTTGTGTAAGACTTTATGGGGCATAAGCTACGAGATATAAAAAAAATATATGATTATTTTTGTTCAATCATTAATGAAAGTGAAATAGTGAAATGATAATTCGCTTTTAACAGCCAGTTTGGTTCATTTTTGTCAAATTGAGCAAAAAATATTGCTAATGAATTATTCACTTGCAAGTGAATAATTCTACCTCATTGAATCCTAATTAATGTGAACTTTAATTGATTCCTATAGGTATAGATGGTTACGCATGAACTAGGCGGTGTCAGTTATTAATGGAAAATAATGTAAACATTGAAAGTGAAACAATTTGGTTAATACGTTCGATCTAGAAAAACTCATTCTTATACAGGTAAAAACGATTATTAACATATTTTTTTAACCTATAATTTGAAATCAAAACGACCTAGAAAAATCCAATTGCAAGAGTTCGCAATCTATTTATATTTATGTTTATGTTTAGTTAGGATTATATGAACGTCGGCAGTCTTCAGAGGTCACCTCGATAGTTAATTAGATGACGTCTAGACTAAAATACACACGAAATACTGATATATTCTATCGAGTCTATGCAACGTAAATTGTTTATTTTAGACTTTTTATAATTTGGATATGAGTTTTAGTATGTTATAAGTCGAATATAAGAATTTGAGTCAAATCGGTGAACATGAATTTAACAGCTAATGCCCCTTTAAAGGAGACATGACACGATTTTTTTCTTCTAATAAATTAATAGATATTAGTCTTAAAACATGTTTTGTACAATTTTGCTGGTCAAAACCTGATCAATCGGCATTTTTTAGGTCAAAGAATCCAGTGCTTGTCTTAATCAATGATTTTTAATAAGATAACGATCACGTGATCGTGCTTACGTCATAGGTTACAAGCTGAGAAAATGTCTGAAACTGGACGATGCCGATCACTTTTCTGCACAATTACACATTGGACGGTATTGATAGCAGTTTTCCCGATTACTGACAAACTAAAACAATTGACCTCATCAATTTGAGCCATTGAGTGTCGAAAATAACCAAGAAAAAGACATTTATTCCTCATGTGAAGAGTCAAACATCGACGATTTTTCAGTCCATAATGATCGGCTTGTTACAATACATATTGTTTCGTCTTATGGATAACTTTAAGAAAGCGCTTTCTGCATTTTTGTTTTAATAAAACTACTTTTAATCATGATTGAAAGTATAAATTTCTAATTATTGATGATCAAATTGTCCGTTTTTTTTTCTTCTCTTTTACGGTACCGTTATAGGTGTGCACCAGAAGAAGAAAATCAAAGTGCTTGTAAGCACTGAAGGGTAAAGATTGCTTTAATTTATCAATGGGAAGTAAAATTATAAAGCATTGGTTGTATAATGTAGTTGACTCAACTAGAATTCTGGGCAAAGGAAGATAACTCCAATTTTTAAACTTTAACAATGACATCATTGATATTTTTAGAACATATATTAGATCCTGCACCTTGCAAAAGTTATGTAATTTTCTTGACAAGTATAACATCATTTTGTGACTTGAATATCTGAGCATATATTTCATTGATAAATTTCTGAAATGTTCATGGATAGGATGTATATAATGTTATGATCAATGCACTGTATTTTGTGTATATCAAAGGTAGTGATAAACCTTGGAAGATTTAGATATCAAGTCAGTACCATAGGGTTTTGACTGCATTTCATGCAATCATTACCCAAAAACGACAGTAAAAGTTAAATTAGGCGTTCGCAAAGGCTACGTTATTATTTTAGACTTTTTGTTGTTGATACGGAGGGACTTTTAATAGGTATAAATAGACAGAATATGAAAATTAAAAATGTAGGAATAGCCAGAAGACACCCATCAAAATGCCTATAATTTTTTTCGTTGGAAACCATACATCAAAATTATCCATATCAGACTTTCTATTTTCTGCATTTGGAAGATTTTTGTCTCACAGTTGAATAGGCAGGACATATTTTTATTGCTTTGAGGAGTCTTCAAATAACAATTTTAATACCTTTTCCCCCTGGTATGTCAACATTTATTGAAGGTTGTTGTTTCAGTAATTAAATTTTCACACCTATAGCATATTTGACCAGGTGAAAGGTAATAAGGCACCTGTAGTATGATTTAGTCACGTGTAATGTTATTTACCTTTTAAAACCATACATTTTAAAGATAAAATGCTCCGCTGGGCGCAGCTTGATACGACCGCAGAGGTCGAACCCTGAACAGTTGGGGCAAGTATGGACACAACATTCAAGCTTGATACAGCACTGAATTTGGATTGTGATTAAATATTTGACACAGCATAGGTTTCTGACACAGAATGAATGTGGTCTAAGAACTTAAAAATTTTTAATTTACCTATTCAAACCATATCATTATTATTTGCTTTTATATATAAATCAGAAATAACCAATTTAAAATGGAAAATTTTAAAGAAAAAAAAATCCCTCCCCCAAATTTTTTGAACCCCCTTATGATTCATCACCCCCAAACTCAATCCCAGCCTTCCCTTTCTGGTATGGTACCTTGCAGTACAATTTCAGAGAGATCCATACACTTGAACACAAGTTATTGTCTGGAAACTAGAAAAATGCTTGTTTTTAGGCCCCTTTTTGGCCCCTTATTCCTAAACGTTTTTGGGCAATTACCCCCAAACTCAATTCCAGCTTTCCCTTTGTGATATGGAACCTTGTAGTACAATTTTAGAAAGATCCATACACTTACACACAAGTTATTATCATAAAACTAGAAAAATGCTTGTTTTTTGCCCCTTTTTTGGCCCCTAATTCCTCAAATTTTGAGGCAATTACCCCAAAATCAATCCCAACATTCCCTTTGTGATATGGACTTTGTGGTACAATGTCAGAGAGATCCATACACTAACACACAAGTTTTGTCTGGAAGTTACAAAAATTCTTATTTTTGGCCCTTTTTTGGCCCCTTATTCCTTAACTTTTGGTACCATAACCCCCAAAATCAATCCCAATCTTTCTTTTGTGGTATTAAACCTTATGGTAAAATTTCATAGAGATCCATTCACTTTAACTAAAGTTAGAGTGCGAAAACCAATGTTTCTTTGGACGACGACGACGACGGCGGCGACAACGACGCCAACGTCATACCAATATACGACCGCAAAATTTTTTTGCAGTCGTATAAAAAGCACATTTCCTAATACCGGATGTTGACTTGACAATGGTAAAACATGGACCAGAGACAGATACGTAAAATCCGTGTACGTTTACAAAGCACGATTGAGTTTAAGTAGCTCTTTCCACGTTATTTCTTCAAGAAAATACTCGAAATGAATGTTAGATAAAGGTATCAATGATAATTTTATCATTTTTGAAGAATTAGGATGCATAATTAAATTTCCCACCGCACATGCGCACTCGTGTACTAGTTCAAATAACGTGGTTCTGACGATTTTTCGTTTAAAACCTTTTTAAATTTTTCATCAAATCATATTTATAAACGTATTTTTGACAATTTTAATCTTTCTGACTAAATTAATTAGATGCAAACCGCTTAAATGTAAGAAAATAACTTTTGAATAGACCGATCAATGTCCGGTACAAAATAGTTTACCTGTCGCCTGAACAGGTAAATTTCAGCTGTCCGACAACTAATATACCTTAATTAAAATGATAAGGTATTAAAGTAGAGTTTGTTTTGATAGTACTTAATCATCATGTCACTTTTATGACCGGAAATGTGTGACTGTTTAAGGCAAAAGGTCGGGTCAAAAAATTCGAACTTCCAATTATTTTTTAATTATGTTAAAAGAATCTTAAAATGACCGTCTCTTAAGGAAGCCTTGAAAACTAAAAGTAGATGACCGTTTCATGCTTTTCCCAGACGGAAATTGTCCGGTAATTTATAAATGTCCGGAACATATGACCGTTTTGGAAGCCAAGCTTTTACCAATGAACCATGAAAATGGGGTCAAGGTCAGATGGTACATGCCAGATGGTCATGTACACCTTGTAATCATTCCATACATCAAATATAGTAGACCTATTGCTTATAGTATCCTAGAAACAGAAATAACTTGTATTTAATTGAAATTTTAAAATCAGATTCTGGGTTTGGGATGGGAGTCTCAAGAAAGGACAAGTGTCTCTTCCTGTCAATACTAAAGGAAACATTCACCCACCTGTTTTCTTTGCAAATGAGAGTTTGAGTTGAGTTGATGCTCCAACTTCATAATCTGGCTTTTTACACTTGCACTGAAGAATTGTTCTGTTAGAATCATCACTCTTGGTTGGCTCATAAAAAAACAAAAGTTATAATCATGTTCTTTCATGACAAAGGAAACATTTAAAAAAGGAATTGAATTAATTATCATAATTTTGATTCAAAGTTTGTTTATTTATGTGTGTTAAGGCTACTTTCTAAACATTCCTATTTTTCACGACAGTCAGATGTAACCATGGAGAAACGCACACTGTTAAACTACAGCCTGAATTGAGAGAGTAATAAACACTTTTACACACTGAAATGGTGGAGAAATTAAAATGCCAAACAATGACCTTTGTCAAGGGAGTAACAACATTAACAACATTTCATATCGGAGTAGATGCATTGCACCTTTACCATTCTATATGACCACATCTTTAACAGTCAATATCTTTACTAGATTAAATAAATATTATTCATGATATTTGTAAAAATGCCCATCTGGTTTTTATCAACAAATGTAATGTAGTTTTTAAAGTTTCAGAGACATATGGACCATATTAGATTAAATCCTAAATATTTCTTTTGGTTTTTTATTTTCAGTCCTATTTTGATGCATATTTCTTCTTTGACTTTTTGATGTAAACTGAACTTTTCAATCAGGTTTGTGGTAGCTCTTATGCCTATACAGCGCCAAGAGGGCATATAACCCCAATCTAAGATGATGCATAAGATTTTTCAGATTCCCTCAGATAAAGTTTGAATTTCTTCTTTGACTGCCTATTGATATTAACTTTCAGTAATGCCTCATTGCTTCTGTCTTAACTTGAATGGGTTTTATCCTTAGCTCTTCTGCTTCAAAGAGAGGATATAAATTGCACTTGTGAAGAACCAAATTATTATATCCATGTACATGTACATGTAGCTCTATCAGGTAAAATACTGTCCACAGTTGATTTTGACAGGTGCTTGATAAATTCTCCTATGTGAACATGATATTGTTGCATCAATCTTTGCTCAGCATTGCCCTCTTCTACAAATGGCATGATGGAGACTCTAACAATCATTGTTTTACAGTAAAGCATTACTTTTGAAAGACAAGTACCAAAAATAGCTCAATGATAATTGTTAAGATTCAAGTTCCAATTTAGAAAGGACTAGAAAACATTTTAAGGCAATAAAGTATTATAAATTTGATAGATTCATGCCATTTATCCAATGCAAATTTCTAATGATGATAAACAGTAAAGAAAAAATTTAAGATACCTGCTCCACTTGAACAAATCCAGGTAATTTTAACAAAGACACCATTTTCTCAGCCTCTGATGTTCCTCCATTGGACCCATTATCCACAGCCTGCTGTATAACAAGAGTACCTCCAGGTCTAAGTAGGCGACATACCTCACCCAGCTGATCTATACTGTGCTTTGTATTGTAGGGAGGAACAATACCAGACACAATCACACCAAATGCTGAATTTGAATATGACGCTATAATAAACGAAGAAAATAAATGCAGATACTTTACTGTGTGGAGATTAAATACGGGACACAATCACATCAAATGCTGAATTTGAATGGGATGCTATAATGAAGACAAAATATGTGCAGATACAATTGTAAAAGTTGCATTTGTTCACTTTGAACAAACATATGACATTTAAGATACTGTTGAATATTTTTTCCTCACTACTCTTTATGTGAAGGTCCTGGTGCAGGTCGTTCCAGTAATCTTATTTCGGATAATATTTAAATTTAGATAAAATGTCAGTAATTGAATTCTAACTACAAACAACTATTAACTTTTACTTGGAATAAATATATTCCACTTTCTTATAAAAAAATATAATATATACATGTACTAGGTCATACAGCATATTAATTGTCCCTGACAAAAGCCAGGAATAACAAATTTGTTGGCTGTCTTTTTTTCATTTGTTTTGTACCTGTATTCTCATCATTTTTGTATTTGTCATTAAACTAATTAGGGTCCTGACAAATTGTCGGTGGTGCCCTACAGTAATCACTAAGTATATCTATTCCTCTGTCTATCTGTCAGTCTTCACTTCTATGTCGTACAATAAGTCTTGATTGCCCTAACTGATTTCAATAACTTTTGTCCTTTGTGCAATGCGTTGCGAGGGACATAGAAATTCTTGGCTTCCATCCGTTCACCCCTCTGTCCATCTATGAATGTGTCCAGTCAACTTTTTTCAAAGAGTTATGCCCCTTGGAAATATTAATTATATAGAAAATTGCATTGTAAGCACTGTCACACCTACATTTCTTGTAGAATTATAATGAAATGTATATCGAAGGTTTATATCTACAATGTCTTGGGTGAGTTCGAAAATCAGCGCTGATGGCAAGCACCTTCACATTTACATTTCAAGGTTTAATAGACAAACCTGACATGTACACTATAAATCTTTCATACACCAAATATAGCTGACCTTATGCTTATAGTACTTGAGATACAGACTTGACAATGAAAACTTAACCTTGATCACTGATCCGTGTAATGAGGTCAAGTGAATCCCGTCTAATGGACAATAGATCTTGCAAGGATCATATGTACCATATATAGTTATCCTATTACACATGACAAGTGAAAAATTCACATGACAAAAATCTTTTTTTAAGCAGATACTAAACCATGAAAATGAGTTCAAGAATAATGGGCATATGACAGACTGTACAAGGTATGAAGCATCCAGGTCTTCTACCCCCTGATATATAAAGCTTTATACAAATAATTTATGCCACTGTTGCCACCAGATTTAGACATCCCCATGTCTTGCATTCTCAAGAAAGAAAATTTTTGTTAATAGTACTTGGATTTTAATAGAGAAAGTCTCTATGTATACAGAACCCATCCTGAATTAGTTCCTGGTGTCAAAATTTATGAAAATCGATAACAAGTGAACAAGTATTGTTTTGTTTACACAAGTATTTATCACACAAAAATGAGCAAGCAGACCCTTGCTGACATGTCTGTTTTCTAGTTTTCAAACAAGTTTTTAAAAATAGGACGCTAATTACCCAAAACAAGCTGTTTTCCTAACAATAAATCTTTCAGTCTAAAAGTACAGTACTGCCTGATCATAATGCCTAAATATAGTAAAATAAATCAAAGCTTTATCTTTGTTTAAACTTACTGATTTGAAGTCTGTCTAGATTTTCCACTTTAACAGATCCTGCATCAGTAACCTTATCTGACAAATCCTTTACAGTTTCTTGTATACGTCCAGCTTCTAGATTCCCAGACCACAGTAACAGCACATCATTTTTCTGAGAAACACAGTCTAAAGCCATGATCTGCAAGTATTTAATTTTATGTATAACTATAATAAATCTATGTATATTTCATTCTCACATATTTGTTGCAGTGGCAATCAAGGGGGTCTGATAATGATACTAACTTTCAGCATGACACAAGAGTAAAAGTATGATTACAGGTACATGCAATCATCAGGGGCTTAGCTCCATATACGCTAACACGCCATGGCGTGCACTTCATCTAAATATAAAAAAAATTGAGAAATGAAAAAAAAAATGAGATATATTATTGATATGTCATCTTTATATTGCTACTGTATTAAACAAGTCTACTGCTACTGCATGGTCATTAAAAATATATTCGTATTAACTTATAGATTCATTACATTTTGAAACTTATTGTTTATTGTGTTCACTTAACGTTTCCGGCAGTGGATTGTTTTCATCTATTTTGGCATACTATACGTTAGTTATTTCATCCTCTCTTTTTAGGCCTTACATGAAAAATAAGAATGCAAAAACGAAAGTTTCTATGTGCAGGCTTGTTTCTGTTTTTCACGCGATTGGAAAATCCAGGTTTATATTTTCAAGAGAAGTTACCTTACAAACATGTTGTAAGGATTGGCCACATATATGTAGGACTCTAAAGTGCGATGGTCACACTAAAGTGCGATGGTCTACGCTAAAGTATGATGGTGTCTCACGCCAAAGTGCGATGGTTTGTTTGCTAAAGTACGATGGTATATCACGCTAAAGTGCGATGGACCAATAGGGTAAGGTTTGAGGACTAAAAACGTTAAAGTACATGGATGTTAAAAAATATACTTTTTTCAAAAGCTAGTATGCTCAGGTATAACATATGTGACAGGCTTTATAATATACCGGTAGGCTTAAGTGATTGTTTCTAAATCTAGAAGATCGATTACGTTATAATTGCCAAAAAGGTAATTTAGATGTCACAAAATACTATATTTCCTGTAAAATGATTTTTAACAATTCAGGATTATCAAATATTTGGATAAACACAGTCTATCACTAATGTGAACACCTCCCTTTACAGTCGTCATGGTTAAATACAAATACAAAATTGGTTCATTGTGGGAATAAGTTACATTTATTTGTATAAACTTTAATTTAAATTTGAGAGAAAGGTGATATTCGCCGAGCTTTCTCCTGTTTCGTAGCGAGTACAAATACCGACAATGTATAATTTACGCTTGAAAACATGTAGCTTTATTTTACTTACGTTACTTTTCAATAAAATCGACAATATTAGTTCATTTGTATGATTTTAGCTTTAAGCAACTATGTGCACAGGATTTATTTGTTTTGCAAAGTTTGATTAAATGGAAGAAAGGCCGACATAGTTAGTTGCACTATTACTAACACAATTCTATATTAATATTCTTGTATTAATATTCTTGTAATTGTTATTAAATACATCAAATAACATAATAAGAAACCTAATCTTGATTTATATCCAATTTTTAGAAATTTACCTGTGACGTTACTTTTTGTGGCGTTGATCCATTCGTGTTACAGACACACCTTCGTAATTCTATTAAGCTGTTTTTGTGTACTGTCCAAAATTATTTTAGTTATTCGTTGTTATTCTGTGGTTAACATGTCGAAATGTACTATCATATTATTTATTTATGTATTTCTCTGTCTTTGGTGTTTTTGCATTTATTTGTACTCTGTTCCCGTCATGTAATGTTGTCATTTTAGCGGTATATTTAACATTGCCATAAAGCGCGGAGGTTTGGCTAGCCACAAAACCAGGTTCAACCCACCATTTTTTCTTAAAATGTCCTGTACCAAAGTCAGGAATACGGCAGTTGTTATCTAATAGTTCGTTTCAATGAATGTTGCATTGTTGTTTGTTTTTTGTTGCACTTCTGTGCTCTGTTATTTCGTTGTTTTCCTCTTATAGTTGATGTGTTTCCCTCGGTTTTAGTTTGTAACCCGGATTTGTTTTCTCTCAATCGATTTATGACTTTTGAACAGCGGTATACTACTGTTGTCTTTATTTGACGGGGACCGCGAAGTAAACTGCAACGTAAACAATGATTTGAATGTATCCGTTCGCTCCATGTGAGCAGTAACTTATAGTAGCGGTATCATATGTAAGCAGTAACTTACAGATTAACTTGTTTAGTTGGTTTTGTTTTTAACCAGCTTCAAAAGATAGGAATACTAGTTTTCTGTCCTCCGTCTGTAGTTCATTTATGTTGCAAGTGATCTAAGATCAGAAATTTTTGAAATTCTACACCAATGTAAGAATTGGTAGTTAAAACCTTTGTGTTTATTAACTTTCGGGACAAAAAAAGGGGTTATCTTTTATATGAAAGATCAAAATTAGTTTTAACTACTAGTATTTGTTCATTTTTAGATGTATAATTATGTGACAGTAGGAACTAAGACTTTTTTATTAGAGAAACTAGTAACAGTGTTCTTCCCAAAACCTTTTAGCATCATGGTAATATTGATTTTCTTATAGACTGTTTTATGGATGTGATGCTATTATTTGTAGAAAAAAGATGCTTTTTCAAAACTCCTTGTTTACCTGGAAGCTCTTAGAAGTATGAGCGGAAAAAACTGCTAGTAACCGTCAACGCCGTCTGTCTGAAAATGGCTTTTAGGATATACACGTGTACAATGGTGTACATGGTTAAGATATTCAGTAAAAGAAGATGTTGTATTTTGGTGTCCATGTTTTTTTTTCGGCCGAAAATGATGTCTAAGTCTTCTATTTATATCTGAAATGCCTCTAATAAGCACCACTTTGCGTCTGGTGAAAAAAATAAAATTTTATGACAGAATGAATGTATTTATTCCTCTTATCTAATACATGTGCCTATATTACCTTATCATGTGTACATTCACATGTATTTGTTTATTCATTTTAAAAAAAACATTGACTATTGATCAAAATTGGACCGTTTACTTAGTTATGTAAAATTTAGATTTCAAATTTGCAACTTATGTTGCACGAATTTCAAAATGTGGGAATAGATTTCTTTGTTTATCAAACTACAGTTTATAATCATAGGAAGCTAAGTTTTCAGTGTAGCTAACCTGCCCTCGCACCCATAACTATTTATATGGAGAATGTATATATATTTTTTTCACTTATTTGTATACTGACTGTTTCTATTTTGTTTTAGTAGATATTTCAACATGGCAGCCAGGGATGGGGTAATCGTAATCTGTAATCGTAATTGATTGTAATTGATTACATTTTTTCCAGTAATCGACAGTAATCTGTAATCGAAGACATTTTCGATTACATGTTATCGTAATTTAATAGATTACAGCAAAAATTAGGATGTAATCATAGATTACTTTTCGATTACATTTCGATTACTTTAGTGTAATAGTTTGATGAAATATAACCTATTTTAAATGAAAATATGTATGTATTCATCACTTTATAGTACAGATAAAATAAAATGAATTAATAAGACTTCAGAGTTTATCAAATGTCTTATTTGTATCTATTATCTCAAGCTGCATTATGATTAACCAGATCTACCAAATTTTACTGTATATCCAGCTTTTGAAACAATTGACTTTTCTGTCTTCAATGCTTGTCAATAATTTAAAGGCCTTTTATTTTGAAATAAGAAAATAGATTAAAATAAGAAATGAGTGTGTTTGATGTTAAGTTCTGTACTACATTGACATTGAAGCGTAATTTTCAATAAGAGTTGGAGTTTAAGTTAGAATAGATAAACAGTTGATTCGTTATAATATTATGATATAAAAAATTAGAAAGTACACAAAATCCTTTTGACAATGTACCAATGGCTATGCATTGAAATTCTTGTTCAGAAATAGATACATGTATCCCATTTTGACACTAAAATTATATATTGTTTATAATTTTGAACAGAGCATAAAAATTCCCAACAAACTTCTTGTGTTTACTAATCAGATGATCAAGGACTTCCTATCAATGAGATGCCAACTATGTTTTGATTTCAATTATGTCTAATTAAGAGGAGATTTACATTATATTGCCCCAGGTTATAACATGTACTCCATTGGCAGTTTTATAACCTGTTAGCACATACTTACAACTTCTCGTCCAATCAAATTGCTTATATTTGCCTTCTAATTTTCATAGTACATACTTTTCCTGTGTACTAAGTAACTACGCATGAATGACCACAAGGGTAAGATTTCATTTTAGCACATATTTACAACTTCTCGTCCAATCAAATTGCTTATATTTGCCTTCTAATTTTCATAGTACATACTTTTCCTGTGTACTAAGTAACTACGCATGAATGACCACAAGGGTAAGATTTCATTGTATCGTAATCAAGATATTTAAAACAAAAATTGCCACTGGCTATTTTGAATAAAAATGCTGTGTTCCAAATTAAATTAAATAGTTTGTAATTAGTTTTCACGTTGATTTTTAAATATCCTGCTATTAAAATCTTTGGATCTAAAAATTGTTTTTGACAATTGCAAATTTTATCATTTAAATAAAGGGTAATACATATGGTTCTTTATACCTTGATTAGAGTACAACGATATCTTAAAATTATGATAATGTATCATCCATGCAATTACTTTGTACACAGAAAAGTGTGTACTATGAAACCTTGTGCAGGAAAATTAAAGCAACTTGGTGATAAACTTTCTTAAGGAAGGTGATCTATTTCATCATGAATTGATTGATTTATTGATTATTGGTTGCTAAATGTCCAGTGGCAAATATTTCATGCATGTTCAGGACGATGTCATAAATTGAAAAACTGTGATTATGTCTGAAGATAATGTGCCACCTATATATATATATAAACATATTCTGATAAATCTTTTAGTTTTTACTTTGAAATAATAAAAAAAAAAAAAAAACACAAAACCTATAATCTCTGATCTATTGGTAGTTGCTTTTTAATGCCTATCTGCTAGACTATATATATGGGGACAAACTATCTCTATGTTTCAAATTTATTATAGCTTTAGTTTTACTGTGAAATTAAAAAAAATGTTTTCAAAACATGTAAAGCTTCCACTGCAATTTAATTATTGCCTGCTTTTGGCCA